AATCAAATTAAGCATTCAACTGGTGGTTACCAGCAATCTATCGCTGTTGGTGATTTCAACAACGACAACCGACTGGATATCGTTGTCGCCAATAGTGGAAGCAATGATGTAAGTGTCCTTCTTGGATATGGTAATGGTTCTTTTGCGAATCAAAGGAGGCATCTAACAGGTCGTTATCCACAATCTGTAGCTGTTGGTGATTTGAACGGCGACAAACGATTAGATATCGTTGTCGCCAATAGTGATAGCAACAGTGTGAGCGTCCTTCTTGGATATGGTGATGGTTCTTTTGCGAATCAAACCAGCTATCAAACTGGCAATAGACCACGATGTGTTGCTATTGGTGATTTCAACAACGATAATCGACTGGATATAGTTGTCGCCAATACTGATAGCGATAGTGTGAGTATCCTTCTTGGATATGGTGATGGCTCTCTAACAGATCAAAGCATGTATTCAACAGGCCGTTTTCCACAATCTGTAGCTGTTGAAGATGTCAATAACGACACCCGACTGGATATTATTGTCGCGAATTATGCTACTCATAATGTGAGCGTTCTTCTTGGATATGGTAATGGTCTTTTCGCAAATCAAATCCAATACTCAACTGGCAATATTCTACGATCTGCAGCTATTGGTGATTTCAATAACGACAAGCGACTAGATATCGTTGTCGCAAATGTTTTAGACAATAGTGTGAGTATAATGCTTCAACATAACAGAGGATTTCTGAAAAACGAAATGACCTACGCATCTGGCGTGGCTTCTGGACTACGATATGTTGTGGTTGATGACATAAACAACGACACTCAACTTGATATCATTGTTGCTAATTTCGGCACTAATAATGTTGGTATCCTTTTTGGATACGGAAATGGTACTTTTCTTAGCCAAATGATACTCAATACTGGCTCAAATTCTCACCCGTCGTCGGTTGCCATTGGTGATTTTAATGGTGATACTCAACGAGATATCGCTGTTGCCAACTACGGTACTAAGAATACAAGTATTTTGCTTGGAAATGGAAACGGAGCGTTTACAAGTCAAACAAGTAATGGAATTCCCTTTGATTTTGCTCCGATTGCTATTGTTGCTGCTGATTTCAATAATGATAGACGATCGGAAATTGTTGTAGCATATGGTGACAGTGAAAATGTGGATATCTTTGTTGCTTTCAACTTTGTTTCTTTTACAAATCGAATTATGTATGCAACAGACAAAGGGNGTTAGATATGACTACTATCACCGAAAAATAAGTTTTAGAAAATCTAGAATTATGTCCAATTAAATATTAGAAATATCGTATATATGATTATTTTTATATTTACTACAATAAGAAAAAGCAACGAGAATATGTTCGTGAATTCTTTTAAGAAAGAAAATAATGTTATATGCCTTCTACTTAATATCATCATTAATTACTAAAAAAAAACACAGAACTGTAATCGATACCATGTCAAGTTTCGTACCTTTTTGTTTTTTTTTTCTTTACACTAAACGACCATTGATTGATGTTGAAAGAGCAATTTTTAAGAATCTACGTAATTTAAATATATTCTCTTTCTTAATGTTTATCGTTAATTGACAAATGTTTAAAATATATTCATATTCTATTTGTTATTCTTCTGTTAGATTTACTCACTTTGACATTATATTCAAAAGACATAGATTGGTATTTTTTAAATATTCTAATAAGGTTCGTTAGTTTCTTCATTTTTTATTACTCCTATGATAAGGTCATAATTATGAATAATCAATATGCAGATCAAAGTTCATCTAAGGCCTCATTCTTTTCTTTTCTTTTTTTTTTGCATTTAGACAAAGGACTTATTGGATATAATTATAGCTTTTTTTCTTTTTGTATGATCTCGATAGTTCTTTTAAAATGTTTTGAGCGATTTCTTTATTTTTTTCGACTTAGAATAAACTAAAGAACGACAAAAAAAAAAGAACATGATCATTATTCTAAAACTTTTTATTTTTGTCCTTTCTTTATTTTTATTATATATTATATATATATTTATATACATGATATTTCTTATTACCTTGAAGAATATTATTATTATAATGAATAGAATAAAAAAAGAAAAAGATATTTGATTCATGTTTCAGATTTGACATTGATTTTTTTTTTTGTACAAGAAAATAGAAATGGAATCACCATCAATGTTAACACCTACAGTAAATGTACCTCGTTCAACATCATCAGTACCATTTGTTCATCATTTTTATATACTCTTAAAAGCACATTATTTTCTTTTTTTTTCGGCATTTGGTATACTTTATCCAATATTAAATATAACATTACGTAGTCGTGGTTTATCAAATGTTGAATTATCATATATTAATATAATTATTCCATTTTTAGTCTTTTTTACAAATCCATTATTAGGTTTTATTGCTGATAATTCACGTCGTTATTTGTTTACATTTAATATTGTTCTTGCTATGGTTACAATCACATATACTAGTATATTTATATTACCAATAGTTAAATCACATAATATACAAGCCAATATGAATCATGATAAACAATATGGTTATGCATTAAATTTTTGTGCTAGTCAAGAAGTAGCAACAAAATGTGCATCAAGATCTCAATGTGGATGTTCATATCAAGCTAATTGTACTTTAATTGATTCATTAGATTATAGATATTATAATCAAATGAAAACATTTTTTTTAACATTTTCAATGGATTCAAAAGATTTTTATAAAGAAATTAATAATGCAATTCAATTGAATGAACTCGAAACATGTGGAATTAAATATCAAGTATCTATTGATGAAATTATTAAAAACTATCTACAAAATCATAGTTTTGGTAAAATAAAATTTATATTTACTAAAAATTTTTATAAAAATAATTTCTATTTAGATCTATTTCCTTCTACTGATATTTCATCTAAATTAGCTAGTTGTGAAATAACTTGTTCAATTGCACATTTTTGTCATGGATCACGTTATGTTAATCAAATAGGTTTTATTCTTCTTTATTCACTTTTATTTATTATTGGAACAAATCTTTTAACGAATGCTGTTCCACTTGGTGCATCAATTGGTTTTGCTAGTTTAGATTGTCCAGAAATATTTGGACAACAACGTATTTATGGTACAATTGGTTTTGGTATATCAGCATTTGCTGCAAGTCGTGCTTATGAATTTTTTCAAACAGATTTTGTTTATATAATTATGTTTTCTATTACAACTATAATTTGCATTATTGTAACAAGTTTTATTCGTATTAAACCAAGTAAAAAAATTTCAAATACAATATATGATGAAAATATAGTTGAAGAAATACAAATCGATACTTTTCCTACGATGAAAGTAAGAAAAACAAAGAAGAGAAGATCTCAACTTGCATTATGTGAACTTCTGATCTTATTTAAAAAAATTGATGTGATTATTTTTCTTTCGTTTGCATTCATTTGTGGAATGTCTTATGCAGCTCTCGATCCAGTGAGAATACATAGATATATTTTCTTTTTTCTCTAGTTGAAGATATTATATTTTTTTAAATTTTAGTATCTATATTTATATATAGATGAATTAGTACCATGTCAATCACGTTCTATTGTTGGTTGGATGTCATTAGTAGCAGCATTATCTGAAGTTTTTGCTCTTTATATTGCTGGAAGAGTACTTAAATTATTAGGTACAAATTTATCATCAATAATTATCTTTTTAGCATTTTCTATTCGATTTGGTGGATATTATTTTATACGACAACCTTATTTTTTTATATTGATGGAAACAATGCATTTTTTTAATTTTGGTATTCTCTATGTTTTAATTGCACAAAAAGCTGATTCAATTGGTAGATTTAGAATATTAAATAACATCTAGTTTATTTTACTATTTATTTTAGCACCACCTGGCCTTTCTGGTACATTGCAAGGTGTGGCACTTGGAATGCTATTTGGTTTAGGTATATTTGTATAATTAAATTATTTGTTTTTTATTTATTTTTTGAACAGGTCGTGGTTTTGGTCTATTGGCTGCATCATTTATCTATACATTCACTCAACAACCATTTCTTTTTCTAATATTTACCTTATTTAATTTAATTGTTGCTGTCATCTATGCTCTCTATTCTATTCTAAATAGAGATTTATCGAAAAAATCCAATGAACAAAATAATAATACATCGGATATTGTAATCGAATCTGGTAAAATATTAATTAATGATTTTATTAAAATTTTTAATCTATTTTTCATAGATATACAATTACACGAAGAGCTTCTATTAACATCACCAACTAAGAACAAATTAGACAATCAAATTGATGAACTATAGAAAAAACAAAAACTTTTATATTAATTGATAAGAACAAACAATTTTTCTTAGTCATCAGATAATTTATGAGTAATGAACATAAACAAACAGGAGTTATTCTAAGCAATATTTTTCTTATTCATTTGTGCTTCTATGTATTTGTAAAGTGATGTTTTATTTATTTATTTCTATTCATGTGTATTATAGACAAAAAAAAACAGGGATACACAATAACATCTATAATATGACTAAATTTTCTTTTTGTGTACTCAAAAAGTGAGTACACTACTAAAATCGGTCTGTGTGTCCGGCCGGCCGTTTACACGATAACTTTCGAAAGGAGAGTCCAATCGCGATGAAATTTTCTACACAGTTCAGTCTTAACAATGTCTCGGTCGAGTTCGAAGATGAGAAGGATCCGTCAAGAAATGGCTGAGTNGAAAAAAATCGTATCAAAACACTGGTGTATTAGTTTTTTCTATTGAGTATGTCTGACTGAGTGAATAAGCTTAGGAGTATCCCCATCCTCGTCTTTTCGGAGTTTCTTGAGAACAATAAATCAAAAAATTTTGAAATTTTCAGGACAGGTAGATCTTGACGAGTACAGCAAAAATTGTCATAGATTCAAAATTTTCGAATGCTGTCTTCTATGAGATAATAGACCCAATGGCCCCTAGTTTTCGTCCCCATTTCTTCAAGACGGTATGTTTGATGGAGCTAAAAATTTTTTTTACAAATAGAAGACACTGTTTACAGTGGGCCGTTCTTATTTGTTTATTTCTATCTTTTGTGATTTCAATAACAAAGTCATAATATCGGGCCTGTCCTAAAAAACGCTTGTTTTTATTACTATAGAAAATTTTGTGAAAGTTACCAAAAATCACAGGAGCAATAGCTCTTGAAAAGAAAAAAAAGGCTCACCTGAAATAGTGACTAGAATATGTGAAAAAAGTTTCAGCTCGATCCCTCTTTCCATGTCGACGAAACAATACTTTTTCTGTTAAAAATTTGATTTTGAGACAAATGCAAAACAATATACGATTTTATCTATGTTTACTATGTAAATTTGATTTCTTCTCGAATTTTTCAACCTTTAAAGACAATTGTTGGGTCCCAAAAATATATTCGGTAGATAGATACTACTTGAAACTATGCAATGGCCACAAAAAAAACAAAAATTTCGAGCAAGAAAACGAGCCGTCCCTTAAGCCATTAATAAACGTAATAGGATTACTGATGAATACCAGTATTTGAAATGAAAGAGCTCCAATGTAAATTATACCTTTCAAATTCTAAGTCAAACATACTTCCAACGCAATGTCTAATACTGTTGACATAAACAAGAGACGCATGCTGAAAATGGAACTGTTTTTTTTTTATACTTTGATTAATGCACAATTTATTATTTGAACAGGTGTTATGTTACAAGATAATATAACACTAAATAGAAAATCATATAGACATATTTATTGTTTTCAGATAAACTTATAAATTCATGATGAATCATTCAATCGATGAGTAAAATCGAATTATTTGCCTGTGGTATTTATGAAAAAAGTATGCGTTAAAGACGTATGTAAAGAATGGTAACGCCTACAAACATGTAGGTTTCGTTAAAAGAAAACAAAATCAAATTTAGTTCTTGAAAAATTAGTTTATTAATCATACTTTTTTTTTTTTCGCTCAATATTACTTTTAGCATATTAATATATATATATATACATATTGTAAACTTTAACAAAAAAGAAAACTAATTTTCTCTTTTAAAAAATTAATCATTCAACGAATATTGTATTTCATGTTGGCTGTGATTGAAAAACCAAATCACGATAAATCAAACAAAAGATAGTTGTATGTAAACTCCTCGCCTCTACCGAAAAATAGTTCATCAGCTTCTAATCTGTTTCTCAAGTCAAAAGTTTGTAGATGGACTTTTATTTTTCTTTCTGTTGTAGCTATGATTTGATTTGTTTGCAAACATTATTCAAACTATGTAAGAACTTGAATAGTTACGCACGAACCAATAAGTACAGTTCAGAAGCACAACAAGATATATAATGACGGACATCAGTCTAGAACAGTTATATTTTTGAAATTTTCTTCTTGATAATAATCGTCAGCAAGAATCTGAAAACATATTTGTGTAGCTGAAAGGATTCTCTATTATACTTAGTAGACGTGAAGGTTTCAGCAAAACTGTCTGGATGAGGATTTGCGGAAACTCAAGACATTAAAAACTAGCTTTCATTTGAAGCTTTTGAGAAAAGTTTTGATTTGATAGATCAAGATAAGACGTCTCAATAACCTTCCTTCATCGAAAGCCTCGAAGTGACAAACATAGGAAAAATATTGAAATTTTCAATAAAAAAAGAAAGAAAAAAATGCATCTTGAATTTTCTATAAATTGAATGCAGTCCCATGAAGAAGAGTAATGGAGATGTTTCTTTTTGCTTTATCAAATAAAAATTTTTTTTTGTAAAAGCTTTGAATGCATGCCAGAGAGATGGTTTCGGAAGTCTTGGTTTTTCGTACACTCTCGTCCAAGCAAGTTATCTGAAATTTTCAACCTCTTGCTGGCTATTACTATTGACTACATAGAAACTGATGTTCATCACTGTATTTCAATTATCTTGAAAGAAGTATTAGGTAAACTTTTTACTACGACATGATGTCTTTTCTTTTTTAGTAAATAAATAGTTCAATTCTATGAGTATTTTAATACTAGATATTGTACTCATTTCATATTGGTATTTAGTTTTGAATTTGATAAATTGTCTCGCGTAATTTCAATAGATCATCATTCAACTTTGTGAGATGTTTCATTTTTCAGTTAAAGATTTGTTCATATTTTTGTCAACATAATAAAAATTTACATAGCAGCTATCTATCATTATTATCTGTAAATATATATTTTTCGGCTCACGAAAGAAATTCATTTATCGATAAACTAATCTATTCAATGATTTATATTGCCATTTTGATGTTCATTCGAATAGAATGAACTTCTATTCAATAGTTCACTCAACGAATTAATTATTGAATGATCTTTAATCTGAATATTAGAGACAAAATAATGAATTTGAATTCTATTTGATAGTTTATATTTAATCAATAAGTGTCATACAATGTTTTGAAATATACAAGAAAAATAGGATTGCATAGAAGAAAAAAATAATATGTTGATTTATATGAACGATTACACATATCTTGATCAGAACAAAAACAAATTTCTTTCATTTTTTGATTAACTTTTTTTATTTGTCGACATCCATCTGATGTATTAATACCTAATTCAGCCGCTCGTATAAGTTCATCAGCTGAAAAACATCGACGACTTGATTTAAGTTTTGATCGATTTTTATATTTTATTAATGGTCGATCATCAGTTTTATTTTCTAATTGTTGTTTATCAATTAAATCAACTGATTTCCAACATTTACCAGTACAATCTTCTCGTGTATGTTGTGTAAAATCAAATTGTGCTTCACAATCTTAATATCGATCAATATAAATATAAAATCAATTAGAATATTAATACGTACCATCAAGAAAGACTTCAGCTTGTTCAGATGATTGAATTGTAACTTCACATCGCCAACATTGTAGTAAAGATTCACGTGATTGAATTCGATGAAAAATAAAGTACAAATATAATGATATTATTAACCATTTACTTGCCATCCGTCATGAATGAACTAACGATTGAAATCAATAGAAATACAGAAGACAGAAGATTGTACATTGATTTATTTGTCGAAGGACGAATGTTCTTCTTCTTTCTTATTTGCTATTGACAAAAAAGAAAAAAAAAAGAATTCTGATCATCTTCTTAAGATTCAATTTATGCACATTTTGTCAAATAAAGATTTAATTGGATGTACAATCATTTACCAAAAGAAAAAATAATATTTACAATAATGATCTAATCATATACAATATAATTATGTTGAAAATAATGATTATTATTAATACATTGGTTTGACTTCCATAATTATTATAGTATATCCATTCCGGGAGTCTTTATCTCTGTTCAGGGATGTCCCGAGCCGACGAATATTGGGGGGGGGGGGCGGGGGCGCCCCCACTTCTCCTGGGAAGGGAGACCACCGTTTGCATCTTTTTCGTGATCTAAAACTTGTGTTCCGAACNCTCAACAAGTTCATAATGTAGATAAATTAGATCACTAACAGATTTTTATGTTTATCAGAAACAATTGGTTGTTTTTTTTTAAATAATATTTTCAAGCAAAATTAAATGAAAACTTATCTCTCTGGGTGTTGCATAAAACAACAACAACATTTTGATCTCTCATTTATAAAAGCAACTTTCTAACCTTATAACTAAAAAATAAATATCACTATAGAAATAAGTTCAATTAACATATATATATATTTTATACAAATGATCACCTGTACAACACTATTGGTTATCGTTAGGAAAGAAAAAATCTGCAGTGTCATGTTGTTGTTTTTTTTACATATGTGACTAATGTTTAAGTATCTGATCACAATCATTGATGAGTAAGAATATGAAGCGAGATGTATTTACTAGACATTATGTAATGCGTCCAGGCTTGCCAAATTGAAATTTCAGAAATCAGGAGTTTTTTATCAAAAAACAGGAGTTCAGCAGGAGAATTTCTGTTAGAAATCAGGAGAAAAATCAGGAGGTTTTCTATTTGAAGTTAAGAGAACATTAAGCGATTTTCTCGTAGAAAATTCGAATTTTCGCTCACATAAGCACTTTTATCTGCTTCATATCAAGATGATGATCAATATTTTAATACAAATGATATTGTTTTCATTCGAGTTCTAACGCAAGTAATACTCTTTGCTATACACGTAGAAGAATTATGAAAACATTTTTTCAGTTATATCTATTATGTACACTGGACCAGTTAATATTCTTATCTGGATTCTTTCGAGACTTCTTTTTTATTCTGATCGATCAGTCAAAATTCCTTTTTTATTGTGAAGTTCAAGCAAAAGAATTTACATAAATTAATAGAACGATAGAAAGACTCTCATCAGAGTTGGTAAATAGACAATCATTCTTTGTTTCTTCCATCACTGTATGAACCGCTTATCACATGCTTCTTCGGTCATTTTTGCAACGAGCGTTTTATACGTTAATGTGCTATAAAAACAAGATAAGTTAACCTTTAACAAACTAAGCTGTTGTTCTCTTAAGCTTTTTATGATCTATTATATGAACATTTTGTCGAAATGGTCATTACTTCTGCTTCCTTTTTGTTGATGCCTTCACTTCTTTTTGTTGTACTATAGATCTATTCATTCTTTTCATGTTTGTAATTCCTATCAAACTTTGACAACAAAACAGCAGTGCAAATGAGCCTATAGCAACTCCATCGCAATAATGAAATTGAAGCGCAGAAATCTTGCTAGGTTATTCAAGATATTATCCTATTCTGAGCTAAAAGGGGTCCGACTTGATTTCCAAGAAATCCAAAATTCTTTCCAGATGAGAGACATCGTGTCTGACCATTTAAAATTTTGTCCATCAGTCTCTTGTCTGATTTTCAAGATCTTGTTTTCTAGACAATAACATATACTTTTCTGCTATCTACAGTAAAATAAGTACTTTGTATACAATTAGATAATGTAATTGATGATTTTTTTAAAGAAAAATGAAATAATAGTAAGTATTTTTTTATCGGTTTCGATAATTATTAAATACTGCGATATTTCTCTTTTTTCCTTTTAATTCTCTTATTGGTCCAGAGTATCGCTAACAACCAAGTAGGGAAAAAAACTAAAATCAGAAGAAATCAGGAGAAAATGTTGAAAATCAGCTCCTGAAACCAGGAGATTTTCTATCAGGAGAACAGTCAAAAAATCAGGAGTCTCCTGGTCAAATCAGGAGGTTTGGCAAGCCTGAATGCGTCATCAAAAATAGTGTTATTGCAAAAATTTGAACCGTTTCTTCTATACAAGTATTTATCGAGTTTCCACGGCATGAGTTAAGATAAGTGTATAAATTTGTAATCTGTAATAAAATACATGATCTATTACATTTCGACGTCAAATATCCTTCGATAAGCCGATTGAATTTCTATTCTATTCTTACTAAGTCTTATTTATGAATGTAAATTATTTTAACATTGAATAAAACAAAAGAAATTAACCTTTTCCCTTTCGACGTGCATAAAAATGTTGATACACTATTTTGAAACCAAATAAAAATCTATCTCTCGATTTCCTTCAATATTTCCAATGAAAGGAAAGAAGGAAAAAAATCTCCAATNNNNATTTCTATTGGCTACTCTCAACCAATAGGATTTGGGGATGAATACAGCTCAGATTTGAACTCTTCGCCTTGATTTACCCTAAGAAAGTCGTTTTTCCTATAACTTGATTTCTATTGGTCCCTGCTCAACCACAGGTATTTCAAGGCGAATGGATGACAGATTCGAGTTCTCCGCCCCAAAAAACCTCGAAGTATCATGTCCGTGATCGGAAGGTAGAGCTCCATTTTCGAATCTACTAGGGCGTGGACGAAAACAGAACCTATTTCCGTCTGATTATTTTGGCAATAGGGGAGTTAGCCTTCGTATTTCTTTATGTTTTATATACCATTTTGTAGCTCGTAAAATTCTCTATCGAATGGTATATAATAGTTGGGATTTTGTTTGAGTATGATAGGAAAAGTTTTTTACGAAAGCGAGGATGGGTCGATTTTTGCATAGGAAAAAATGAGTATTTTTGCAATAACTCAGGAACGGCTCGGCCAATCATGCTCATCTTCGAACTCGACCGAGATATTGTAAAGACTGAACTGTATAGAAAATTTCATCGTGATCGGACTCTTCTTTCGAAAGTTATCGTGTAAACGGCCGGTCGGACGGACGTACTGACCGATTCTAAAGTGTACTCACTTTTTGAGTACACAAAAATCCGATCAATGATTACTTACTACTCCATTAATATTCGGTCTACACCACATTGAACTATTTTGATTAAATCTAAATCCTCTATTGTCAATCCATGAGAATTCACCAACTCGAATAAATTTCATTTTGTTTTTAAATTAATATTTATTACTAACTTACATTTAACAAATGGTTCATTCATTGCACCTATCCTATAGATATATTTTTTGTTTTTAAATAAAAATATATTATGTTAAAAATTTTACAAATAATAATCTACCAAAATCGAGTATAATAAGGAGTATCCCAAGTATCAGGAAAAACCATTGACATATCCATTTCTTCTCCATGTTTCTACAAAATATACGAAGATATTATTATAACATAAATTTCATAATAATATTTACTCGAAGCCAATTTAAATCATCAACATCATTAAAAACAATTAACTATAATGAAAATAAATAAAATGAACGAATAATTCATTAACGTACATCAGCCATAAAAGGGTATCGACATCTTTCTCTAGCATTTGACCAACTCGTTTTCTCATAAGGAAAATAATAACATCGTGTTCCTAATATACAAACAATAAATATCATCAAAAAAAGAAAAACAAAATAACGAAAATTAAACCTTGAAAAAACCATCTCGATGGGCAATAAACACAACGACGACTTGTACTATTCCAAAAGACTTTCCCGTAAGCATCAGTAAGAACTGGTCTACAAGTACATCTATTTGTCGTATCACATATTACACGTCCATCACGCCAACCAACACAATCATGAGTAAAAGTGCAAGTACCATTATAAGGAACACCTTGTGCATCTGCATTACATTCATTAAATACATAATATTTTGATAATAAATAAAAAAAAGCATACTTAAACAAGTATATTTTAATAATATAATGATAATAGTAAGATTCACTAGCATAGACAGTAGTAAACAAGTTACGAATGACCTATTTTTACTACATAGCAACGATAGATTTTTCGTTCTTTTTTTTTTTTTTATTTTATTTATATAAGTCCTAATAGAAGATTCGCTTTTTGTTTTCTATCACTTGATTATCGTCAACATTTTTATTTTATTATAAATACAAAAAACAAAATATTACAATAAACTATATAAAAATTATTTCAATCCAACTGCTTCAGCACTTAATTTCCATAAATGATCAGCTGTTTTATTATCTGTGCAGAGTGAAGTCGCTTGAGCAACAGCACAATTTCTATAACACAGAAATAGAATTTTTCTGTTTTTTTTTAGTTTTATCTAAAATATTGTAAATTCGAAATTTGAACAAAAAGTGAAGCTCAGGAAAAATGGATATATGCAAAACGCATCAAATCTCGATAGTCTCAAAATTTATTCGTGCATTTTACAAAACATTGTTTGATTGTTGGGATAATCTTTTTTTTTTCTAAATGATAGCAAAAAAAGTCGTAAACATGAGTTTGTATTCTAAGGTTTAGTCCATCAGAACGTTAGTTTTGAAATAAATAAATATTATATGCAGAATCATCACAAAAATTGACATCGAATAATATACTTAATAAGGGATGGGAGCAAAGGTTGTAGTGCCCAAACTAGTGTCCTGCACGGGTACTACTTTTTGCACCCGGACCCGATCCGACTGATTTTTTTCATACCCGGCACCCAACCGGCCCCGATCACTTTGCACCCGAAACCGAACCGGACCCGATCANGATCGGTTTTTACAAAAAAAAAGGCATTTATTTAAATAACATTTTCTTTAGCGTCGGGCCAGGTCTGGGCCGGGCCGGGCGGGCCTAATAATATGATGGGCCGGGCCGGGCGGGCCTAGTAATTTGATGGGCCGGGCCGGGCGGGCTTGAATTAGTTTTGGGCCGCATTGGGCCGGCCCGAACCATAAAAAAGTGGCCCGTTTCGAGCCCTGATAGAAACTATTTTTTGTCTAAATACATCCCAATGATTCAATGATCTTTTAAGAAGGCCTATTAAAATTTGGCAAAGTATCAAGTTTTCCTAATTGCATGTTTAAATTTCTGCTAAAAGAAGCTTGCAAACAGTTTGAAAAATATTTTATTAGTTTATAAAGGTTCTTTTCAAGTCATTATTGTCTTTATAGAAATAGAATATATTCTAAGAGATCAGAATGCTAGCATGTATTCATTTCATCGAATTTTTTTGAAGATTGAAATGTAGTAGTATCGAAATCGAATTTAATTTGAAAATCAAAAGCATCCATAAGTACCATAGATCCTTGTGAAAAAAATGATTTGATCAAATTGTAGAATTTGCAAGAAGATGGTATTGAATTCTAGTTTGTACACTACTTATTCGCATATGTCACGTCAGTGCCCATTAGTTCCTGAGGTATCACTCATAACGAACGCGCTCTAAAACGTATCGCCAGTAACACTTCAGTACACATTATGTACGTATCTATCTAGTGCAGAGTTCGTTCAACAGTAGAAATGACAATAGCAAAGATATATACATATCGGCTTTTCTTAGATATACCATATAATAAATTAATGAATTAACGATATAGAAAATTTCTTCTATGATTCGAAATTGTTAATTTAAAAATTGTTTTTTATTCTATGCAATTATTTTAGACATTCTTCCTGTTACTTTTTCAGAAATAAGTTTAAAAACTTTGAATCTGTTTTATTTTGTGGAACTCACGTATATTTTCGAAGAAAATAATGAGTGTAAGTTTTAAATTGAAGCTTCGCGGCTCTTCATTCCTCTCCTCTTCATTGCAGATCATAGACACGGAATCCCTCGTTACAAACATACCCTCCATTATAGACATACTCCTCATTACAGACATATTCCTCCGTTACGAATAACCCATCATTACAAATCTTAGCAACCAGGATCAAATAATTGATGTATATATATAACAGTTCCATGTGTCATCTAATTCAATGTTTACAATAATAAAAATGTTAAATTAAGATAAAGGGATTGTGAAAATGAAAAATACTGAACGATTAGTAACAATGACAATGAAAAATAAGGACGCCTGTCATAAAATTAAAAAATTAAAGAATTCTTGATTTTACACTTTCTGTATTTCATATTAGTATAATAAAGCTGAATAACATACGTGGGTTTCACTTTTCAACTCCAAAGGGACTGCGCTAGCAAGCTTTTTTAAAATTTCAAAGTTTCTCGTAGAGCAATATTACTCTTCATTTTCTATTTGATTGCTTGATACAGAAAATAATTTACATTATTTTGTTGCTCTATACCTTATAATATAGTTGCAAAAAGGTTATTAAGACTCTTTTTTTTGTGTGAATTATATTTTTTTAATAGATTTTTCAAAATCAATCAGTCCCTTTTTTTTAATCATAGTTTATATTTACATTTAAATATTTACTGAAAATTCTCATCTATTTTACCACAATATTTAGCTATATTTTTCTTCAATAAAGGCGTTAAGCAGGTATTTTCATGCTTTATTTTTCATCGAAAATTATACAATATAATTAAAATCTGTTAGCGCAACCTCTTTGGAGCTGAAATGTGGAACTCACGTATAACCTTCAAACTTGTTATCATAATGCATCGTTTGTAAACTGAAAAATAGTTTTTTTCAAATAATTATGAAAGCATTGAAATATTGTATAGAATCTGAAGCCTTTTATGTGCGGTTACTGAGATCTGTAATGGTGGCCTGTCGGTATTAGGGGGGGGGGGGGGGGGGGGGTGTGGGGGAGGGTGGAGTGGGTGAAAGGGGGAGGTGCTGTGAGGGGAGCCTGCTCGGTTGGGTTTCTGACAAGG